AGCAAGAAATCCTCACTGCTCACAGAATGTCCTGATGTTGGGTCCAAGGCAAACTATGTATGCTCTGCCTTGTCAATGGAGCAGTGGCTCCAGGGAGGCCATGCTGCTTCCAGAGAGAAGCAGGCGAAGCACCTCACAGCCTGACCACCACTCAGGATTGAGCCCCTAGGCCCCAAGTGCAGCCTAGAAAGACCCTGGACACCTGCAGGCCCCACATTCCTGCTCCATCTGCCCAGGAGTTGGGCTACAGTTGCAAACCAAGAGGTTACATTCCTGGGCTTTACTGCTGGCTTCTCAAGGTGACATCAAGCTGACCTGTCAGCTCTGACAGCACCTTGAGAACAGGTTAGTCACCCTACTCTGCCACGTTAGCAGAATTTTCTGTGAAGAGGTTGCATTCCAGATGAATCATCTGAGCCCAGGATGTGGCTAGCCATGAGTTTGCTCACACCTGGCTCTCCTCCAGAGAAGGGCTGCCTGGGAAGCCCCGCTGCCCTTCGCTCACTTTGTTCAGCGTTTCACCAAAAGCCTGACCTTCAGCTAGACGCCCTAAGAGGGCTACCTAACTGGGATCACAGATTCACCTGGGCAGAGAATCAGAGGACTGCTCTACTTCCTTTCACCTGCTTGCCTTACTTTCCAAAAAACAGCCAAACCCCATAAGTAATTAACCCCTCACAAGCTGAGTCACCAGACATCGGCCAACACAGAATCAGAGCTCAGCTAAAGCACTCCATGACTGCATGGTTTTCTAGCCTTCAGAACCATGAATAATTAATTCCTATTGTTTATAAGCTATCTAGTCTATGGCACGCTGGTATATTTTAGCCTAGTGACTAAAACAGTGGTGGTCTTCAGATACCAGAAGTTTATTCTGCAGGAACAAGAACCTTAATAAAAACAATAATAGTTCCCTTTCCCTCCCCCCATTTAAATCCAAATTCTCTTTGATCTTGCAAGGACAACATTTAAAATTTCTGTTACTGGGGAAAATCAGACAATACTATCTATTCATATCTGTAATCTAGTTAGCAAATTATTCTGTTGGCAGGTTGTTAATTCAAAATCACTAATTTCCATAAAGGGACATTCAAAATAATTGCTATTTTGATGATGATATCTAGTGAACAAATCCAGTGTAATAACTTACAGCATTAAAATCAATCCGAATTGCCTACAAGTTGTGCAAGTTAGTTATTTTTGGCATTTCCATATTCTCCTTTACCTTTTTCTTCTAATGACCCCAAAGTAGAATTTAGAGTCTGAGTTTTCTATGCTACGTTGCAATACTCTTTCCCAGCATATGTTTATGTGTCACCATCCTGTCTTCTGTTTACTTAAAAATATTAATGACTGAATCCCTTCCCCTTCCTGTTGACAACTCCTGAGCATCACACGATGCCCTGCTCCTACAGGACCTCCCAGCCCTCCCTAGTGGCTCAACAGAAACTACTGTGAGTCTTCAAACCAGCTTTGGGTATTCTGAGTATTATCTGTAAGCCATGGGCCATGATGTCTGCTTAGCCATCTTTGCCTTTTGTTGCTTTGCGATACATTTTATTCTCTTTTTTTAAACGCATAGGCTTTTCTGGTGTGCTATGTATTAAAATTAGAAGCTTGATTGTCCAGAGTTCAACCTGCTATAACTCAAATCGGATTATTCCTTCTAGATTACTCTCTGTAGTCTTTAGGATTCTTAGAGACTTTATGATCAGGAAGTTTCTATCTATGTAAGGGTATCAGTCCCTATCCAAGCCCCACATGCTATTTTAGCATTTTCTTAGTCAGCCACTACTTACTGGCAAACCCTCTTTCCTCTCTGAATGCTGGTTACATTTGTGATACTGGAATTGGAAGCAATTAGAAGATAAGCAAGCATATAGGGACTAACATAGCTCATATCATAGGCTACACTTCTCACTTAATTTGACCCTAGAGACAACTATGCTGGGTGTTTGGCTTTTAGAGAAACATAAAACAACATCATAAACCCGACCACAGTTATTTGGATAATAGGGAATCAGATTTTTTTTCTTTCTCATATCAAACTGGAAAAGTCCAGGCATGGAAAACAAGGCAAAAGTAGCCAAAATATCCTAAAGTCAATCAGAAGTCTGAATTAAAGCCCAGAGGAATCGCAGACCATGATCATGATATAAATTGTTACACGTAATGATGGTAATTATAAAATGTAACAGTTATGCACCAGGCACTGCGTTAATTGTAAGATTATTATCTCACTGGGTCATCCCCCCCTCTGCACTGCCCGCCCCCCATGCCACAAAGCAGGTGCCACAGACAGCACTGAGGATGGAAGAGGCTAAACATCTCATCTGGGATTGCTTTCCCATCTACACAATCTGAACTCCCCATCCTGCCTGCTACTGTGCAGCTGAGGGAAAGACAATGTGTGGACCAGCAGGGGGACCAGCAGGGGGACCAGCAGTGTCTGAGGCTCTACTGGTTCTCGGGTGGGGTCGACCATGAGGGGACAAAGTGCTCAGGGCTAGCATGTGAAGGCCAAGTCAGAAGACAAGAGCTCCAGGTTTCACTGCTCTGTCTTTCTGGCAGCCCACATCGCTGCTAAGCCCACTTCCATGTCCACAAGTCAACAGGCGTTGTTAAACCTGAGTGTTTTTAGTAATGATAATTTTTAAAAACAATTTCCACTTGGACAAAAACAAATTGGTGTCACTTCTACCAAACCTCCTATTGAAGACACCTAGAAAAGCTGGTAAAACATTGAAAGTATGCAATCATTAATGATACTTAAAAAATGAAACTAAATAAAACATTCCTAGAATACTACAGAATCAATTTATTACTCAAAACTGGTCAAGAAAGAGTCAGATTTCCTTTCCTTTTCCAACTAAGTAAAACAAGCAGTTGATAGAAGTAATTTCCTCATTGAAAAAGTCTAGCCAATAAGAAGGCAATTAGAATGTCAACATTTTAACTACCAAGGGATCTGTGGATCTGGGCAGAAAGTATTGAATGCTACTAACAACCCAGGCATCAAGTAGCTCCTGAAAGAAATGCATGCTACCACCTATGCATGGAATTTTAAGCATGTATAAAATAAAAAGAATAATTTACCTTCTAGTGTGTCCTCGCCTCTAAGCTACAGTTGTTATCAATTCATGGCCAGTCTTATTTAATCTTCAAATGCATTCACTAGTCCATTTTCCAATCAGCTTAATTGTTGTATTTAAATTTTTATAGCTACTGATAAGTTATACCCTATAAAAGTTATAGCAATTTGTACTCCCCCAATGATGTGTGGAAATCCTTACTTCTCTTACACTCTCGCAAGCATGTAATCAAATAGTCTCATCCTTGCCAATATAATAGGTTTACTTTCAGTACTAATTATAATCCTAGTATCCTAGATTGAGCATCCTTTGATATGTTCAATAGACCTTTGTGTTGTTTTTTTATTTGGGAAATGTCTTGACACTATATACTTAAAAATAAAGTCTGAGCGGGCACTGGTGGCTCACACCTGTAATCCTAACTACTCAGGAGGCTGAGATCTGAGGATTGCGGCTCAAAGCCAGCCTAGGCAGGAAAGTCCGTGAGACTCTTATGTCCAATTAACCACTAGAAGACCAGAAGTGGCGCTGTGGTTCAAGTGGTAGAGCGCTTGCTTTGAGCTGAAGAGCTGAGGGACAGCGCCCAGGCCTAGAGTTCAAGCCCCATGACCACCCCTCTCCATCCCCCTATCCCCCGCCCCCCACCAAAAAAAAAATCTGAACCAGGTGCTGGTAGTATATACCTCTAAATCCTAGCTACTCGGGAGGCTGAGATCTGAGGATTGCAGTTTAAAGCCAGCCTGGGCAACAAAGTCTGTGAAACTCTTATCTCCAATTAAGCCAGAAAGGAAGAGAGGGAGAAAGCAAAAAAAAGAGAGAGGAAAAGAGAAGAAAGAAAGAAAGATAGATAGAAGGAGAAAAAGAAGTGAGAGAAAGAAAGATAGAAAAGAAAAACCTGGAAGTGGAGCTGTGGCTTAAGTATCAGAGTGCTAGCCTTGAGCAAAAAAAATTTTTTTTAAGAAAATCTTAATTGCTAGTAGCATCTGCAAACCAATGGAGAACAGATCTCATAAATTTACCCTTCCATAAACTAATCATGAAAAGGAAAAAATTGTTAGAATCAAAATTTTCAGAACTCTGGGAGTTAGCCAGTTTCAGGACTCTGGAAGCATTTATGAAAGAAAAACACTAAGATATCATCTCTGGACCGGATGTAATAGCTTACACAATCTCAGTTACTTGCAAGAGAACTGTGGTTTGACACTAACTCAGGTGAAAAGTCAGATCCCATTTTAAAGAATAGCTGAGTATAATGGTATGTGCCTCCCTCCCAGCTATGTGAGAAGCATAAATAGGAAGAGTGGTGATGAGGCCAACTCTGGCAAAAATTCAAGAACCCAATCAAAACATAACTAAAGTTTTAAAAAGCTAGGGGCAGGACTCAAATGGCAGAGACCTAAATAAGTCCTTAACCTGGGTATCACATTCTAAAAAAATCTCTCATCTCTGGCTGACCTCAAAACTGCAAAAGCAGGAAGTAAAAGCTAAGGCACATTTGAAAACATTCTATTGAAATGTTAAATGCATGCCCCAGAACACACACACACACAAACACACACATGCACACACACACGCACGCACACACACACACACAAATACACATACAAATATATATATATATATATATATATATGTATGACGAGTGGCAGGATTATTGCTTCTAGATATTTAATAATAAAAATAATAAAAGCATTGGTCCATCAAGAAGAAGTAATATATATATTAGCCTAACAGAAGTGCCCCAAAACACATGAGGCAAAAAAGAGGGAAGCAGAATTGAAGGAAGAAATAATTCAATAATAGCAACTGGAAAGCGGTTGGCAGAGGGAGTTGGAGCTACAGGCCAGGTGGGGGCTGAGGGCTGCGATGCGGACGGCGCAGGGTCGGTGACCGGAGCTGCTGCCCGACATGAACTCACTGGAGCAGGCGGAAGACCTCAAGGCTTTCGAGAAAAGGCTTTCTGAATATATTCACTGCTTGCAGCCTGCCACAGGATGTTGGAGAATGCTGCTTATAGTGGTATCTGTCTGTACAGCTACTGGTGCCTGGAACTGGCTAATAGATCCTGAAACACAAAAGGTGTCCTTCTTTATAGCATTGTGGAATCACCCATTTTTTACTATTAGCTGTATCACTCTAATAGGCTTGTTCTTTGCTGGAATACACAAGAGAGTAGTTGCACCATCAATTATAGCTGCTCGATGTGGAACTGTTTTGGCAGAGTACAATATGTCTTGTGATGATACAGGAAAACTAATTTAGAAACCTATGCCTCACGTTCAATGACAATCTGCACTCATTGTTATGGGATCTAAAACAGCCTCTCTTCAAATAAGTGATACTGCGAAAAGCCATAAGGATTCCTTTTGCAGTTGGATACGTGAAGGTTATAGCAACAACAGACAAGAAATGTGCAATATTTCCCAAGATTGTCTTGATGATGACTCAAGTTGTTGGTGCCTCGGTACCTTTGATTACCTGTGTTCAGTATTAGTGTCACTTTAGTACTTCAGTTCCTGCAAAGAGTTTTGCAGATGAAGTATGCATCTATGTTACTAAGTTAAACTTAGAAGCCGAACCTCACAGTTTTTATAATGTATTTTTGCAAGCTACTGTAAATAGCAAATCAATGCCAACATTAAACAAAGACGAAGATGTGTGGACCTTATTCCCCTGCACCAGTATTTCAGGAACATCTGCTTGCCGTCCTCACAGCTCTCTAACACTGGCTGTTATGTGTGCCTTTCATTCTTTCTTCTCCTAATTGTACTGCAAGAAAAACAACAGATTCTGCTTAGACTGAGGAAAACTCATCCCCATTATGTTGTAAGAAATTACAGATGTTTTGAGAATTTTTGTTAAACCAGATTCTTAACTACAGCAGCTCTGTGATTTTATTCAGTTCATTGTTTTATTTAGTGCTAACTATATATGTATTTTTAAGATTCTGTTCATCTTGGCTTTCACTTGTGTAAAGTTTTATTTTTTGAACTGCAGCAATAAAACCCTCTGCTCCTAAGAAGCCTGAAGAGGGCATTCTACAAATTCTGCTGTTTTATTTTCTGTAAATTTTGTAGGTAAATATGTGCCTAAAAATAAATACTTTATATATTAAAAAAATAGCAACTGGAAAGTTCAATATACCACTTTATAGAACTACTAGGCAGCAGATCATGGGGGCGGGAGGTGATGCACAATGAACACTTCAGCTTGCAAATATACAATTTGTCACCCTTTTCCTCTGTCATCTCAGTCTTTTCTGGGCAACCTCCTAAATAATGCATGACTTAGAAGGCCTGGCTTCCTAGTCCTTGGCCCTTCATCCTCAGCCATATTCCAGCAGAAAGAAAGACATCCATCCTGACTCCCCAGAAGCTGTCATATCCTGGAACACAGCCCGCCTTCTCTGGGTCTGGGCCTCTCACTTCCCAGCCTGACGTCAGCCCTGCCCTCCCTGGGGCTCTGCACAGACTGAGTGAGGGTCACTCAGTCCCCACCCTGGAGTATTCAATAGCCATCGTGTGGAGAGCAAGACAGCGGATGTATCTGTGGCACCAACTGACTCTGATAATGTGGCCTGAGAACGCTTGGGTCACCAAGCCAAATGCTGAGTTGGAGGGAGTCTCTGCAGTCACAGAGGCAACGCCTCTGTGGCATGAATAGAGGCGTTGTCCTGGCAGCCTGAGGAACGGTTAGCTGGACAAGGCTGGTAGCAGCACAGCTTATTATTACCCGACCTCAGCTGATTTCATGCCCAAACAGTGAAATACAAGCAATGCATGGAATTCCTTTCTTCTTTTATTTTTTTTGCACAATAATTATACAACACAAGCCATATAAAACTGTTACCAGTGGTATTTGCAAATGAATGACTTACAGACCAAATTCTCACATGAACATTTTTTTCCTCTGCCCTGAACAAACACCATCAAGATGGGTATTCATTTCTTTTTTTTTTTTTGTCAAGAACTTATATCTTGGGGTTGGGAAGGTCAGTGGTAGAGTGCTTCCCTTGCAATGCATGAGGCCCTGGGTTCAATTCCTCAGCACCACATAAGCAGAAAAAGCCGGAAGTGGCTCTGTGGCTCAAGTGGTAGAGCACTAGCCTTGAGCTGAAGAGCTGAAGGACAGTGCCCAGGCCCAGAGTTTAGGCCCATAAATGACAAAAAAAAAAGAACTTGTATCTCAAATTAAAATATGGTTTTAAGACTGATGTGTGGATTCAATGAGAAACCACCTTAGTTCTTTATAGTGGGGTTGCCTCTGCACATTCCATGTCTAACTGGAGTTGAGGCTTCAGACTCATTCACAATCTTTTACCTTGCCAGTAATCAGCACCTTCTAAAGAGCAAGTCCTTCCCATTCTCCTACCTCTCAGCTCAACCACCTGGCTAGAGCCAACCAGATAATCTATAAGCCACTTTAGCAAGGTATTTGAAATGGGTACCTGTGAACTACCTCTCTTTCTCTACCTGCAGAGTTAGTATCCCACCTCATCCTCATCTTTTTTCCTATCTCTCCAGACTCAGGAGACTTGGGCACAAAGCCAACCCTTCCCCTAGGTTTCTAACTGGTTGCTGCTCCCTTTTAATTGGCTTACCAATTCCTCCCTGACTGCTCCTGTCTTCAAACTGCTTCTTCTTACTGCTTTTCCCCCTTCTTCATATAAACCCATCAAATCTCTACCATCCACAAGAAAAAAAATTAGAATACAAGGACTGTACCATTTAGCTCCTTCCTAGATTTCTCCTTCCCTGGATGCCAAGCTCTGAAAAGCTGGCTCTCTCTACTTCTTCCCCACCCATTTCCTCCTCTGTCTTCCAGTTCACCTGGCACTGTAGCTGGTCCAGAAAAGGTGACCAGGCTTCTGAAAGGTTAAAGCATGGGGCTTCACAGTTATCTTCGCACTGTGGATATTTTGCCACAGAAGATGATGCACTGATCTCTTCTGTCTTAAAAGTTTCCTATCCATTGTTTCTAAGTTTCCATCTTTTCATTGGGATTTTCTCCTTGGCTCTTGTGCCAATAAAGAGGCTCTTTCTCTATTACCATTATTCTAAGATCTTTTTTCTTCCTTCCCTCCTTCCCTCTCTCCCACTCTCTCTGGTTTCCTATCTTGTTGTGCTCTGATGACATTCAAACAAACAAGATTCATCCATTGGTGTGCACAATTGCTTCACAAATGTCTCTCACTCAATGTGTCTATAATGTAACATATCATTATCCTTAATCATACCACTTCCTGTTCTTATGTCTTATGTCTACTGTATTACATCCCAAGCCATAAAACCTGACAATCTAGACTTATTCTCCATATTAAAAATAATAATAATCTACTTGGGTGCTAGTAGCTCACACTTGTAATCCTAGCTACTCAGGAGAGTCTGAGATCTGAGGATTATGGATCAAAGCTGGCCCAGGTAGGAAAGCTTATAAGACTCTTATCTCCAATTAGCCACCAAAAAAGCCACAAGTGGAGCTGTAGTTCAAGTGGTAGAGCACTAGCCTTGAGTGGAAAAAACTGAGGAACAGCATCCAGGCCCTGAGTTCAAGCCCAAGACAGGAAAAAAAAATCTGGTCATTTTTACCTTCAAAATATGTTTAGACTTTGTCTTTATTCTACCATAATCTCCTTTTATACCTGCCAATAATTTTCAAATTTATTATATTTCATTTGGGATATGCTCGAATCCAACACATAGCTCTCTAGAAAATGTGTATACAATAAAAATCCTATTGTTTCTCTTCTGTGTATGACAGGGACAATAAATTAAACTTGAGGGCTTAAAATACTCATCAGAGTTCTACTTCTGGGAAAATAGAGTAAACGTACTTCTTATTTACCCTAAGTGGAGCCAAATACTGTGGACACTACCGTAAAACAAACATAAGAAGGTTTACCAGCTAGGGACCTGGGGTCTAAGGAGCTTATTACAGCAGCATCAAAGTCAGATAAAACAGATTTAAATAAAAATCAGGCTTGCAGAATACAATGTAAAACTGGTCAGGTTTTAGCTGAATATCCTTTATCTGATTTTTTCAAGAGCCAGAAAGATCTCAAACTGAATTGGAAAAAAAATTCAATAGATACCAATATCAAGGGATCAGAGATGTTAGAAGTATTCAACAAAAACTTAAAATGACCTATGATAAAAATGTTTTGACAAGCAACTATGAATGTGCTTCAAATATGAAAAAGTAGAAAACCGCATCAAACAAATATAAAGTGTCAAGGAAAATAAGGCATAAGCAACCAAGTGAAAACTTCTATAACTGGAATAAGAATCTCAGTGAATGGATTCAACAGTAGAATAGAAGGACATAAGGACAACTGCTTGGTTTTGAAGACAGAACAACTTTAAAAAGACAGAAAATAAATTGAAAACAAAGGCTGAACAGAGTCTTGAGGCCTGTAGAGTTATGACAAAAGATCTGACATTCATGTTAATGGAGTCTTGGAATAAGAGAAGACAGGACCAATGACATCACCCCGTTTGTTAGGAAATGGAAAGACTTGGAATAATTATAGTAAGTGAAGTAAGCCAGGCCCAAAGAAACATAGGTCCATGGTTTCTCTTACTTGCAATAACTAGTACATGCTAAGGACAAGCAAAAAAGGTCAAAAGCTATGTATATATAACAATATAAGATGATGTTAAGCGAAATGAACCCCAGGACAGGCACACAAGTGGTTTTATCTTTCTTGTTATTGTTTTTAGCTTACCTATAATGCACTATGTGATTCTTTTGTTTCTTTTGTATGTTCTTCCCCATGGTATAACCCCTGTTTTCATTGTATCTGATTCCAAGGTGTCCCCCCCATCTTGTATATACATTGTTATAATTTGGAGAGGAGAAGGGATATAACAAAATGCTTAAATAAGGATATAGGTTGACCCATTGTAATAATGAGATGTACAAGACACTATGTTAAAAACGAACTTTACAATTT